AAAAATAGATTTTAAACCTGATTAAAAAATAGTTGCCAGTAACTGCAGCTTCTTACCGAGAGCTTTTTTTTACTATTACAGCGTTATCAGAGGTCTTTTACGAGGTCTATAAATCATGATAATAGATCATCAACCGTACAACCTGACAGTCGTTTGTGAGGTTTACGGTTTCCATAATCTTACGTCTGTCATTTCCTTACGCAGTCTGCAAGTTACAGCTCCATCAGTGATATTACGATTACCATTACTGGAAGAAAAAAAATAGTTCGCTCGCTACCATAATGGGAAACGTATTGCGGGTTGACAGTCAAATAATTCTTCTAACTGTTTGTCCTCGATTATCGAAATTGATTGTGGAGTTGTTCGGACGTGAATTAGTCTCACGTCCATGTTACTCATGTGACACAGAGAGAGAGAGAAAGAGAGAGAGAGAGAGAGAGAGAGAGAGAGAGAGAGAGAAAGAGATCTGTAAACGACATTCGATCTGTAAATGACATTCGATCATAATTACATATTTGTTCGCGCACGATATATGCATGACTCTAGAAAGTATTTAAAAGCATAAAAAATATATGACATATCACACAAGTTTTTAACATTTATATTACGATAGAGATAATGTCAGTGTTTTTGCTATTTGACAAATTTTAATAGATATTTTTATGTATGTGCGATGTAATCATATATATATATATATATATATATATATATGTATATTTCAAGACTGTTCAAGTAGTAAAAATATAAAAACTCGATTGAAAAAGTTTTTTAGGCTAATTTATTTGTTTATCTAAGAGATTTTTGTTTCTTCTCTTGTGTTAATATTACTCTTATGAACATATTTTACTATATCACTTTTATATTGTATTAGTTCTTGTAGTGAAAATAGTTCTCAAGAAATATTTTTTCTCAAAAGAGAACTCCATTGACAGAACTATCATATCTCGCTTCGTGAAATAGCAGCATCTGTCAAAAGAAATGCAGTTCGATCGGGGACACATGTATTTATTTGCGATATGTTTTTCTTCTTATCGCTTTTACTCACGGAAAAATAATGTTTCTCTGGTTTCTCTCTCTCTCTCTCTCTCTCTCTCTCTCTCTCTCTCTCTCTCTCTCTCTCTCTTTTTTCCTCTCTCTTTCTCCGTGTCTCTTTCTCGCTCGTTCGTTCCATCTTGTCGCTTTGATCATTATACCGGAAAATTCTTTGAACACATAAAAGTGCATGACCGAACTTATTTTTTATTAAACGGTCAAACTATTTTATACCGGGGCTGATCGTTGTAATTAAAACTTAATACGAGCATGCATTAAAACTTTGTCTAAGAGTTCCTTTTGCGAAGAAAGAAAAGTGGTCTCTCGTTTTATTCCCGTGTGAGTGGAAAGCCCTTAAGTGTGTTAAAGAACGGCGGGAGAACGGAAATAATGCGATTCGAAATATCATACGTTACACAATTGTGCATTCCACGCTTTAAGATTTATAAATTGCGATTCATGAATTTCGCATGTAAAAAAAAAAACGTATTCGCACACAGGGACTTTTTTTGTTCCAACTTTTTTGCGAAATATTGAGATTCGATTCGATATATATTGGAAATAACGACATACATATATGCTCGTTTCTCTGAATCCTCAATACATATGCGACTGCACTGCGGTCATCACAATTTCCAATACTTTAAATAATAAAAATCCGAGGTTTGCTTTTAAATATTCAAGAAAACCTATTAAAGAAATAAAAAAAAAAAAGGGAAAAGTATATGAAGTATATTGAAAATAGAAGATTATCAGGAGAGAGAGAGAGAGAGAGAAACAAATTTCTTCCTAATAAATTATTCTCAGTAGTTTATGGTTTTTTTTTTCAATATCTCCTCTTTGCGATGTAGTATGTTTAGTAAAAAAAAAATAAATAAAAAAATAAATAAAGAGAGCAGCATTCCGCGCACGTCGGAATCTTTCTTTCGCTCAACGTTGCTCTCGCGGGGATTCCGCTCGAGATCGCTGAACCACATTGAGAGACTGACAGCTGCGCCAATGGAATTGTTCTGGGAATAGTTATAGCGGTAACACCGCGGTATTTGCGAACAAATACGGTTTTCCGCAACGCTGTAAAGTAACGGAAGGAGGATTACGTAGGAGCGTCTCGAAACGGAAGGAACAAAAAGAGAAGGTCCGCGGTCCACCAGGAATCGGAACAAGAAGATCAACGAAACCCGACGATAAAGCGACAACTAACAAGCGTCCGACGATAATAGACACACGACGCTTTTCGTCTCTGTGAAAACGTGTTCCGCAATTGTGTTGTCGCTGTATTATCTTTTCTACTTTTATTCTACCGAGTTTTATCTATCGTAATCTACATATACCCCATTTCTGTTTACGTGCGCACAGAGGGAAGCCTTGGCATTGCGACGTTGAAAGCGTCGACCTACTTTGCCCGCCGGTCTTTTTGCCGTTTTCTACGTTTTTCCCGTCACGTTACATCGTCGATAAAACTACTTGAAATCGGGCGGAATAAAAGCGCGATCGCACGGATTAAGGATGAGACGATGATAATATTCGTGCGCCGCTCCGAAATCGTAAAAAAAAAAAGATGACGAGGCTAGTTTAATAGATATTAATGTTCTCTCTATTTCGTTCTTCGTTTCTACGTTCCTCCATTATGTTACATGGTCGATAAAATCAACAGAAATGGCGCGAGACGGAGGTATTACAGATCGTAATTTAGATCGTAACAGTTATCGTAAACAGTTTTTTTTTTTTCACAATAGAGTCTCATTTGTTCAATAAAATGATACCGCGCGATAAGATCGTCGAAACACAAAGACTTTGTAGTATATAAACAATAAAAAAATATAATATTACATTATCACTCTTATGTGTATAAAAAAAATATAATTCTCCAAAAACCTAAAATGAATCCGCGCGTTAGGAGTTTCAGAGAGTGTGGGATATAAAGCTTTAATTCGCGCGCGCGCGTCCAGTAAAACTGGACGAGTTCCACGTATTAATAAAACTGCCGGCCGTAAAAACAATGACCGAGATATATTGTCTTGTTTACGCTGATCGCGCGCAATGTCCATCGAAGTAATGCGTTTTACTTGGCGGCGGTTTATTCGCGCGCGGATTCGCTTCAGAAGCGGATTACGGAGCGAAATTCGTGGCTCCGATATGTCACGGCTGAAGCTCCTCAAGTAGACAAGGGTAAAAGAAGAGCCTTTTCTCTCGTGACAAGCGAGCGAGGAGCACGCCCGCTTCCTTGTCGATGACATAAGAATAGTTGCATAATCCGCTTCACTATCCTTTCGTCTTTCTTTTGCTTCGTCTTTTATGCTCGTCTTTTCGGATTTTCGCATTAAAGATCGCTCGTTACAAATACACGCGCGAGTATTTTGCGAAACTAAACAAAATTTTGCAAAAAAATATATATATATATTTCTTTAGCGTTTTGTTTTTTTTTTAATAATCGAAATGCGTTTTAATTGTTTTTCTCCAAAAAAAAGTATGTTCGCGCATGAGTTTTATTTATATTCATGTTTAAAAAGAAAAAAAATTAATAAAAGACAATTCTTTATCTTTTAACAATCAATCGATCGGAGAAGCACCGAGAATTTTATATTACTTCGGTTCGAGTGAGATAAGAAACGTTCTTCTCTTGTTAAAATGAATCGTTCTGATAGAGAATACCAAGAGAGAGAAAATCGAAATTCGCTGAGAGAGACGAATGGGCCAAGAGGCTTGAAGCTCTCCTCGCGAGACCGATTCCGAATTCGCGTTGATAAAAATTCTGTCAGTTCGATTAACGATCGTACGTGCCAGTTGGAGCGCTGCCATTTTGTATCGCGGAGAACGTCGTATTAGCAGTTAACTCTCTAACGGCGTCGAAAATCTCATTAGATTTTCGCACATGTCCGTTTTTTGTGCTTATGAATTACGTGAGAAGAAACGGGAAATCGCGTTGTCAAAAACTAATAAATATACAATTTTGGTAAAACGATAGAAAACGAATCTTGTGCGAATCTTTTTCACGCTGTGCTCCTTGGAATGTTTTTGGAAGAATTAAATGTTCCTTGTCAAGGTCTATTTATACGTCGTTTCGCGTGAACGTATATAACGGGTTTGATAATTAATACTTAATAATGATGAAAAAGTAGTCGTGGTGTGTGTGTGTGTCATATATAAGCTATTTAGCGAGCGATCGTAAATGTTGTAACTCTCTTTCTCTCTCTAAGTACCATATGAGAACTCTTTAAATATCACATAAACCCTTTAATTAACTCGATTGTCACTGCACATTTCTTTAATGGTACACATCTCTTTCTCACAACGAACGTTATAATTAGAAAAGTAGGAAACTTCTCTTATTTATTTATAAAATTTGCGCAATTGCAAGAGAATATTTTTTACTAATACAAAAGTCAAAAATACACAGAAGAACTTATACCAAATGGAAATCTCGTATTATACTTAAGTGATTAGGAAAAATTGTATTATTATATATATATTTTATATATGTATTTTTTATACGTATATAAACTTTATTTGTATTTTTATATATAAAACTTATTTATATACATATATATATTTTATAAATCTTGCGCGCAAAAGGGAGCTAATTTTCTCGAGAATATTTTTAAATCTTTCTTTTTACAGCAAATATTTTAATTATAAGATAAAATATCTTACATTAATGATTGACATTTGAAAGACCTGTCAATTTTTTTCCAAGAGTTTCTAAACTAAAGGAAAATAATGTTGCTACAAAAACCTCAAATTAATCTTATTATTAATGTCAAGTAAAAAGCAACTTATAGAAAAAATGTTAACAAATAGAAAAAATCAATAAGTGCCAATCATTGGAAAGTTATAGATGGATTCACAGTGTTACCCTACTTTTCTCAGTAATATAATATACGACTGGCACATAATTTTTCTCTCAGCTTAAAGACTGCATGTTTCGGCAAAACAACTGGAATTAAAGAGAATCCTTTTTATGTTTTCAGGCGATGGAGGCGGCGCCGGCGGAGATGGCGATCCTATTGTCGGCACGACCAATTCCGAGAAGAAGTCAGGATATGAGACCAATCTGTATCTGTACAGTGTAAGTACAATGTTTAACAAACCAAACGTTACACTCTCTCTCTCTTATTTTTTCAATTTATATTTTTTGATCCATATGTATTTTTAAATTAAATATTTGTTCAAACATATTTGTGTTATGAGAAAAAAGCTGTGACATTTCTTGTCTTATCTGGACAGCGAAAGAAAAAAGAAACACATCTTAGTTCCTAACTTTTACTTTAGTGTATGTCATTCTCATTAATTATTGATGAATTATTTTCTTATAACTGTACAATTATCTTCTCTTTCTCTCTCTCTTTCTCTCTCTGTCTCTTCCTTTCTCTTTATTATCATCGTCGCTTTTCTCCTTAGCATTTTAATGAAGTATTTGACTACTTTTCCTAACCGTAAGAACTTCATCGGCCCAGTTTTCTTACTTCTTGCCCGACTCCGTCTAGAATTGCGCGCTATTATCGAGCTATGAATCTCATGAGACGAGTATTGTGTCCTCCTCGAATCCGATAATTCGCTTCCACGGCGAATGTAACCCTTTCGGCGCTCATATTTCTTGCTCGACTTGTTCGAGCAGCGCAATCGAAGATCGCGGAAACTTTTAGCGAATGTTCAAGAAATACACTTTTACTCGTGCGTTTAAACTTTTGGAAAAAAAAAGATTCTTATAATTTTTGAAAAATTCTAATAATCATTTTAAGAAAAAAACTTGTGTGAGAAAAAGAGAGAAGTAGGTAACTAACTTTTGAGCTTAAAACTAGTTGAAATCAAGAACTTATATCAGTTACTTATTAATAATTTATTAATTGTTAAAAGTGATTTTGCGGATCTCTTTATTCTCTGAGCGGTTATCTCGTTTTCGCGTTTATTCTACATGTGAGTTCTACATGTGTGTTCTACGTAACTATCGTGTTTCATTGAATAATAGAGTGAGATAGATGCTTTTCTGCAGGTTTTGTACATGGAAAGTCGGTCAATATCAGAATCGCAACGTGAAATAAAAAAAACAAAAAACAAAAAAAAAAAAAAAAATGAACACATCATACAAGAGATGTAAAGCAATGCGCGTTGCAATATTTTAATGGAAAATTATCTCATTCTAAATCGATGGTTTTCTCTTTGACTCGCGCGCTGCTTGACATTTTTTTCTCGACCATATTTTTAAACCAACAAATTCTTTGCGCTTTATGTAATGCAAGCAGAATTTTTCATGGACGCACAAAAGAAGTTGTTGCAAAACATTAGATCGACAACGCGTAATACTCTCGTAACGAGATTGCGATCGGAACTTACATGACAAAGCGCTAACAATTTCCATAAAAGCGTCGAACAGAGTTGCGCGCGACACTCCCGCAAAAGTTTGTCAATAAAATTGCAAATGAGATTGCAACGTTTCGTTTGGCGTAATATAGAATCTTATTTGGAAAATTGGATAAACCGCAATGAGCGAGTATCGCAATATTCGTCATTACGTACGTGTAGCCGAGCGCGTGATAAAAGTCGACGATTGATCGGACAAATTCTCACTTGCGATATCGCAGTATTATTTCGAATCTTTTTTAAAAAAAAAAAACGTTTATTGCGTAATCAGACTAAAATAGCAAAAACACACCTAAACTGATCAAACTAATACGTATTTGTACATTTGTTTTTTTTTCTGTATATTCACGTGCAAACCTTTACATATTTTTAATTTTGTCAGTCTGTTGTTTCTTTTTTTAATTGATTATATGATAAAGTTTATATACATACATGTATACGTAATATCTATAAAACACAAAATATTTGAAATATATTGCTTTTCTAGAAAACTAATATTATTTTGTTTTTTTTGTTTAGTCAAAAGCTGTCTTGTATTAAAATATCAAAAGTTTTCATTAAAAAACACTACATACATACGTATACACATATATATATATATTTATATAATTAATAAAATAATTTGTTGGGAGAGAGAATTTTACTTCCGATTTTCACACACACACACACACACACACACACACAATCTGCAATAAGTAAATAAAAACAAAAATATCGAAAATAAACCCTCGCAGGAAGAGATGGAGGATCGGCCGCGGATTTCGACGTTGCTCAACAGCTTGGCCAGCTACAGCAACACCATTCCCGCCGCGACCGATCCGGACGCCAAACCGCCTCCGGCCGCGGCGGGCGGAGCGCGAATGGGCACCCTCATAGGTGTCTATTTGCCGTGTATCCAGAACATCTTCGGTGTGATTCTCTTTATCCGTCTGACATGGGTGGTCGGTACGGCCGGCGCCATTCAGGGCTTCTTCATCGTGCTTTGCTGCTGTTGCGTTGTGAGTAAAACAAATTCCTGCTCCCCTCCCCCCCCTCCGCGAATTAATCTTTGAAAGATAGATTGAAAAAAAAAACTGCTATTCCTCGTGCACGCAGACTATGTTGACGGCGATCAGTATGAGCGCTATCGCTACCAACGGCAAGGTGCCAGCCGGTGGGTCTTATTTCATGATATCGAGAAGTTTAGGTCCGGAATTTGGTGGCGCGGTCGGTATGCTGTTTTACACCGGTACCACCCTGGCAGCCGCGATGTACATCATCGGTGCCGTGGAGATCGTTCTCGTAAGTATAAAAAAAAGCTTAATTCATCATATCGCACCGATCGAAAACAAATACATGATACAAACGTTCAAATTGTGTGTGATTGGGGAAACGGAATCGATTTTTTTGCTTCTTTCCCGAATATAGACCTACATGGCGCCGTCACTCAGCATATTCGGCGATTTCACAAAAGACGCCAGTATAATGTACAACAACTTCCGAGTTTACGGCACCGTCTTGCTAATGATAATGGGCACGATTGTCTTCGTGGGTGTGAAGTTCGTTAACAAGTTCGCTACGGTGGCACTGGCCTGTGTAATTTTCTCCATCATCGCTGTTTACGTGGGACTCTTCGTGAACTTCAACGGCAACGAGGCTCTGAAGTATTAAACTAATTACGACATTAATTCCAGAATTATGTAGTCGTCACATCCTGGGACTACCGCTTATAATTAATTATATCGCGCCGATGAATAAATACACTTAAGAAACAGTGAAGTAAAAAAAAAAAAAAAAAAAAAAAGATCCTCCCGAGCAGCAGCTTTAAGAATTGAAACTTTGTGTTGTAGATTGTGCCTGCTCGGCAAGAGACTGTTAAAAGATCTCAACGTTCTCACGGATTGCAATAAGAATGTCAGCGGCCTTTTGCATAAGATTTACTGCGGCAACAGCACGACGAAATGCGATCCGTATTATCTCGAGAATAATCTCACCATCGTCAACGGTATTCGCGGCTTGGCTAGCGGTGTATTCTTAGGTACAGAATCGCAAGTTTTTTTTTTATCTTTTCATCGTTATCGCACACACAAATATACAAAACAATGTGACAATATACTTTGTGTTCTTTGACATGTAGAAAATATATGGGACAAATTCCAAGAGGAAGGACAGTTGATATCTTACGGCAATGATCCGAAAGACACTGACATTTTGTCAGGATCGTCTTTCAATCAAATCCAAGTCGATCTAACTACCACCTTCACCATTCTTATCGGCATATTTTTCCCTTCCGTAACGGGTAAATAAATGAATGAATTTTATTAACACACACGGATATATTAATTACGCGCAATAATAATTATGTAATAATTAATAACTTACAAAAAAAAAACAAACTCTTCAGGTATTATGGCGGGTTCCAACCGATCTGGCGACTTGGCAGACGCCCAGAAGTCTATACCGATAGGAACAATTTGCGCGATTCTGACAACCTCCACTGTTTATCTGTCAAGCGTTTTACTCTTTGCCGGTACTGTTGACAACCTGCTCTTACGTGACAAATTCGGCCAGAGTATCGGCGGCAAGCTGGTAGTGGCAAACATGGCTTGGCCGAATCAGTGGGTGATTCTGATCGGTTCGTTTTTGTCTACTCTGGGCGCGGGTCTACAGTCTTTGACGGGAGCGCCACGATTGCTTCAAGCGATCGCTAAAGACGGCATCATTCCCTTCTTGACACCGTTCGCCGTCAGTTCCAGCCGGGGCGAGCCCACTCGCGCTCTTGTACTCACCGTGTTGATCTGCCAATGTGGCATCCTTCTTGGCAACGTGGACTATCTGGCACCGCTTCTGTCTATGTTCTTCCTTATGTGTTACGGCTTCGTAAATCTTGCTTGCGCTCTGCAGACCCTGCTGCGCACGCCTAACTGGCGACCGCGCTTCAAGTATTATCACTGGAGTCTATCGTTTCTCGGTCTGACGCTCTGCATCGCCATCATGTTTATGACCAGCTGGTATTACGCATTGCTGGCGATGGGTATGGCCGGTTGTATCTACAAGTACATCGAATATCGAGGCGCCGAGAAAGAATGGGGCGACGGTATTCGCGGTCTGGCACTCTCAGCGGCTAGATATTCTCTGCTTAGGCTCGAAGAAGGCCCGCCGCACACCAAGAACTGGCGTCCGCAGATTCTGATCCTCGCCAAACTTACCGACGATCTGGTGCCTAAGTATCGCAAGCTTTTCGCTTTTGCCAATCAACTGAAAGCGGGCAAGGGTCTTACCGTATGCGTGAGCTGTCTGGCCGGTGATTTCACACAGAAGTCCGGCGAGGCGCAGGCAGCCAAGCAAAGTCTGAAGAAAGCCACGGCTGAGGAAAAGGTGAAAGGTTTCGTCGACGTTCTCGTGGCGAGGAGCGTTGTTGATGGATTGAGCTCGTTGATACAGATGACTGGACTGGGCGGTTTGAAGCCGAACACGGTTATACTCGGCTGGCCGTACGGCTGGCGACAATCAGAAGAGGAGAGAACCTGGCGCGTCTTCCTGCAAACCGTCAGAAGCGTTTCGGCCGCCAAGATGGCTCTGTTGGTTCCTAAAGGCATTAACTTCTTCCCGGATTCTAGCGAAAAGATAATCGGTAACATCGACGTCTGGTGGATCGTGCACGACGGCGGTTTATTGATGCTGCTACCGTTCTTGCTGAAACAGCATCGAACTTGGAAGAACTGTAAGATGAGAATCTTCACGGTCGCCCAAATGGAAGATAACTCGATTCAAATGAAGAAGGATCTGAAGAAATTCTTGTACGACTTGAGAATCGAGGCAGAAGTAGAGATCGTTGAAATGGTAATCTTACGTTTTGCGAAAGAACGTTGTTTTTTTTTTTTTTTTTTTTTTTTTTTTTTTTTTTTTATAATAAACTAAAAGATGTACATCGACAAATTAACATTTCATTTATTCTCTAATCTGTTTGCAGACAAATACCGACATCTCCGCGTACACGTACGAGCGCACGTTGATTATGGAGCAGAGAAATCAGATGCTGCGCGAGTTACAGTTGAACAAGAAACAATCTCTAGGAGTGGTAAGTATTGCATGCGGAGATAAAGCGGGAGATAAAGTGGGAAAACTGCTTATGGTATTATGTAGTAGAATCATGTATTATATATGTTAAGTAATAACACAATAGTAACGGTAATACTGATCGGTGTGTGTCTGTTTGTTACGTGCTTGTCACGGATAAAGGTGCAGTTGGTGGACTTCAACGAGGTACCCGCCGAGGAAAAATTACCTCTGGTTTGTCAGATAAACCCCGGAGTTCCATGTATGCCTCTCTCCCATCATCGCTCCATTGCACCAACGATTTTGTATTCTGTATACTCCCTCTCCTCTCCTCACACGATATCATGATATAACAGTCTGAAATCTCTCTTTTACGCGATCATGTACGAATAAATATTCTTACCGTAACAGGAAGGACGAATTCACGCGGCTTGCACCACAATTATTACGTGACGAGTTCACTGCGGCGAATTAAATATTTCTGGGATCGCCGCAGAAAAAATTATAAAAATATAATCTATAAATATATATATTATTCAAAATATATATATTAGTACGTATTTAACAATAATATATATATTTATAATTATATATATATATATATATTAGTATATATTTAATGATAATATATACTTATTATATATATATTAAAAATATATATTATTTAAACAATATAAAAGTGAGCATGCGTGCAAGAAAAACTTAATTTAAAAAATATGTTTGATGATATCTATGTGTATTTATAAAATGTATTTGCTCGCGTTCACTTCTTCCTGTTTATCACGTCATCACTTCAGATCCTTGTGTCTCTCAGTTTCGGCTTAAACCTTGGCACGGTTGCTTACATAGAGATAGCATTGATTTGGCGGTTATATTGCTTTGACGCTAGATTAATAGTTTCCTCTTAATTGAATGTCTTTTGCTGATCGAGACAACGGAATGCTCGTAGTGTCACTCATTCGCGTTACGTAATACAGGTGCAAGCGATTGTCGATCATCATCACAACGTGGACGCCAAAGTGGCAACAAAGGTGAGGTTCCAGGAGCCGGGTAACCAAAGCTCGAACGTGACCGACGATACGAAAGAGAAGCTGATGCACGAAGGCAACAAAGAAACGGAAGCTGCCGATGAGGCCGCAGATGAAAAGGAAGAAACTAAGGAGGACAACGACGAGGAGACGAAACTAATTGGCGGTTCGCCCAAGGCAGAAAATCGGGAGAACACGGAAAAGGAAACGGAGGCCAACGCGCAAGAGAACAAAAGCCAAAGTCCGGAGGTTAAAAAACCCGTAATCACACCGTGAGTGAATCAATGCGATCATTCGGTTTTCGATAACTGATGATCGAAACTTTAATAAATGATATTTTAATAGCGATGAGGGTGACGTGAGACGTATGCACACTTCCTTGAAATTAAACGAGGTAATCCGCAAAATGAGCAGTGAAGCTCAGCTGGTCATCTTGAATCTTCCTGGACCGCCAAGGGACACGAAGATGGAGCGTGAATCTAATTGTATCCTTTTAATAAATGCGTGTGTAACAAAAATATTTACTCGGTATTTAGTCGATTTTGAATGTTGAATTTTATTTATAAATTATGTTTGAAGACCGGTTTTTTGTTTTGTGTAGTAAAATATTTATTATTTATTTATAAATGCGTGGGACGACAATCTGTTAATTTGTAACTCAATAGTGCGTATAATATGAAAAATGTCACAGAAACGTAACTATGTAAAATTTTCTTGACCGTTGAAAATCAGATATGGAATTCCTCGAGGTGCTCACTGAAGGCCTGGAGAGAGTGCTGATGGTGCGGGGCAGCGGACGGGAAGTGATCACCATCTATTCGTGAACTGAAGCGATTGAAATCGCCACCGCCTCGCGGAAGCAAAGCTCTAGTTTACTTCTCAGTGACCTAAACAACACTATTCTAAGGAACACACTGCTCTTGTGCCATTGTCTGCGCAGTCACTTGCGTCTCGCGATTTGAAAGTCATTAGGGGAAAAGGAAAATGACGACGACGATGATAATGATCGTATCAAATACGAGAGGACAAAGTTTTACGCGGACCACGACGACCAATCATCGTTCGACGATGAAGCCAACCGCGATGATTGTCAAGGATAAAGTTTCTTTCAAATGAATTTTCGAAAATGTGTATTGATGTGCGAATTGAGAAAAGATTCGATATCGTCGTTTTGATACGCGTTAGAGACTGCTCAGATACAAATTCCGACAAATTCTGTCAGGCTCGCAGCCGCGCTCTCTCCGGACTCCATCTTGCTACCTTTCAGACCACCGGAAAACGAAAAATCGTAGCTCAACGACACGAGTCCCGGATAAACAATTCACTCAATTCCAACACTTCTCGATTCAATTTCTCGTAACTTTCCTGACAGCTAAAAAAGAATTATGTTTAAAAAAAAACAAAAAAAAAAAAAAACAAAAAACAAAAAAAAAACGAAACGACAACACAAGCATAAAAATGGCGAAAAAAAGAGAGAGAAAAAACTATGAGAATCAAAATTTGGTCCGAGGCTAAGGTCGAAGCATCTACGAAACCACTGCCAGACTACTTTCTAAATGCTTCGCGTTTAACCAAAGACGCGAGAGGCTCATTTTTCTACGCGCGTTGAAAGAATAAGAGTAGTAAGATACTTATGTATAATTTTATTGCTTGATAGGTGAATCTAGAGTAGCCTAGAATAGCGCGGACTTTTATTATAATTAAACATATTGATAATAGGACAAGACGACGAGAATACGCGTCGCGAGTATTATTGCATTTTCTCCGGGAGATACAAAGCCCCATTCTTTTTCCAATCTCGCGCGGAGATCTTCACACACGAACACACTCGCATACACAAACATGTGTACACACACACACACACACGTACACGTACATAAATACATATAATAGATAAACGTACACACACGTGTACGTTTGTAACGTTTTAAGGCCTACCGGTCCAAGATGCCACTATATATGCTAATCAATAACACCAAGTTGAAGTTGAATCATAACACGAAGAGCCGCAACCTCAGAAACACTCAATGCCAAAACGCGTGTCGATCTTGTCGAATCTCATCGAAAGCGTTATAAAGTATAAAATAAACTTCAATTGCACATATTAAAAGTGTCGTCGTGTGTATTGTCACGTTCCGCGCGTAGCCCCGTTTCCGGCCGCGCTCCATTTAGATAAGTATTATCTAATATATCTATAGTTGATCAGCGTGAGCGAAATATATACATATATATATATATATATATATATATCGGCGATCGCTTCTCTCATTCTTTTTGCCGAGAAGTTTATTGGATAATTGACAAAACATTGAATTAAATTGAATTAAAACTCTCTCCGATACAAAATAAGAAAATTAACTAATTTTCGCTGAATTAGAGCGAAAATTTATTTTAATTTGCAAATTATTGAACAGCGTTGAAGTCTCTTCAATGCCTATGTAAAATGAAGCACATAAGTATAACAATTAGTATATTAAGTATAGCCATTGTCAAATTTTATTCTTTGATCGTTAAAAATGGCACGTGACAATGTTACATTTTCTACAACGTTAAATTATTTGGGTTTTTAAGTGTTATATTGCAAAACAAAATCGATGACAAAAGGACTGAGGAAGAGATAATCGTAGAATTAGCGTTTAATGTAATATTTATTAATACACTACTTAATCAATGTCCATATAAGAGAGTTTATTGTGCTAAGTGACTTGTCAAACTTTTTCGCAAACAGCGAAACACGACGAGAATTAACAGTTGTTTCGGCTGTGCACACATGGAGTGTATCGGAATTATCGTGTCTTCTTTAGATATATATTTTCTAACCCTTTAATCTAATGTACTTATAAGATTGAAGATGAGTTTCGAAAAACGAGAACCTAGTTGTTCCTAGCGTTATTACATCGTCGACTCATCGATGTTATCGCCTCGCTTAAAAATTTAATTTAGGAAAACAAAACGTGATGTTTTTTTGTACTTAAATGCAATTGATTGAATAATAGTTTACAAAGCACATGCCTGTTGTTTTAGTTTAGCAGAAGCCTTAAAAGCAGCAACATAAACTTCTAACTTGTACAAGTGAAAATTCTTTGAACGATATTTTTCTATTTAAATAATAAATATATTTTTATTTCATATTATCACACAAAAATAACAATCAAAACTTAAAATGAATGTACTTACTTAACTTTTACTTGCGTTTGATTGAAAGTTTTTTACAATATCGCTAAAATATAATGAATTGAATCTCATTTACTGATCACAAAAACAAAAAAAAAACGAAAAAAGAAAATGCGATATTTCCGAAACATTTTGATATAAATAGATGTACATTCACATTGTCTGTTGTAAAATGCACGTACTGTGTCCTGCAATACCAGTAGCTAGAGAAGAGAAAGACGAAGAAGAGAAAAAATGTAAAACGCGTTAATTATATACTATATATGAAAGTGTATCGAATCGATTACAAAAAAAAAAAAAAAAAAAAAAAAGGAAAAAGAAGAGAAAGACGAAGAACAGAAAAAATGTAAAACGCGTTAATTATATACTATATATGAAAGTGTATCGAATCGATTACAAAAAAAAAAAAAAAAAAAAAATGGTCGAGCAATGGTACAGCGATATCGCTTCTATGCCGATCTGCTAGTTTAGATAAAAAAAAAAAGAATATTAACAAGGGAGAAGAGATTCCTGTATTATCCCGTGCAGAATTGTTTCGACATTTCTCAACGTCGTAACGCGAATTCAGCGCATTTATATTAAAATAAAAAAAAAAAACGAGAAGAAAGAGAGACGTAACTTACATCGATGAAGAGCATTCCGCAATTTGAAATCTTGAATCTCACGCGATTTCTCTAAACGCTAGCGAAATGCTCGTTATATCGACAGATTATACAAAGCAATACGTGTATTCATTAACTACTTCGTCACAGAATACTGTGCGACTATTGAAAACAAAAAGTTGAGCGCCATAGAGAGATTCTAACGTGTATAGACATATACATATATACATATATACACATAAATTATTATTCTCTTCCTCTCTCTCTCTCTCTCTCTCTCTCTCTCTCTCTTTTTCTCCTGATATATACATCTCTTTTTCTCTCTCTCTCTTTCTCTCTCACACTATCTCTCTCGTCCATGATGTTTGCAACATATACTTTATATAATTTTATTACGTTACTCATTGATTGAATATATTTTATGTATATGTATATTTACCTTAATCTATAGGCATTGACACTGCATAGTTTATACAGAAACATGTTGACTTTATGAGAAAGTTTATCGCGAATTAACGAGAGTCGACTGTTGCCGAATCACCCATACATAAAATACGCTGTATATATATATACGTAGATAAAGAAAGAAATATAAAAAAACAGAGAGATATAATTGCGTAGTTCCGTAAAAGAGATTCAAAAGTGAGACGGTTAAAAAAAAATAAAAAAGAAAGAAGAAGAAAACACAGAGCAGCATCTGTTTTAATTTTTTTTTGTTTTTGTTTTTGTTTTTGTTTTTATAGATCCAACAGTATTGCAGTATATTCTGCTGCCGCTTTAATATTTTACTTACGTCGTGTTTACTTTTTAAATGCACAATGACCACATGCACAGAAATGTACGTACCGTGTGATATATATATATATAAATATATATCTATATATATATTCATACATATATTATGGCCGATGAGAATGAGAATGGTGCGGGGCGAAGATTTGGGAGAAACTCGCAAAAAAAATTGATCGTCCAATAAATTCCGCAACCTGTCTCTCATATTTTCATTCTCCTTAGCTTAAGCGGAGATACAACGGACGTAAGATTTTTGATACAGCGAAATCATCCACGTATGTCTTACACTATTATCATTCCATTCGGCTCTCCTATACGTGTTATCGGCAGCAGCGGAATGCGTCCGACGTCCGCGTTTTATGTTCGCTTGGCGGAAACAGTATTGCTTTGTGAAAAAAAAAATACGTTAGTATAGATATTCTTTCTCCGTTTACTGAGTGTCCCTTTGTAGAAAAATAGATCAAAGACTGAAGCGAGCGGTGGAGAGACATATATATNATGTATATATATATATATATGTATATATATATATATGTGTATATATATATATATGTAAACAAAAACCCGTATGCAATTCCTTGAGAGGAAACAAAAATGCGCACAACACTTTGGCTATAAAGTTCTCCTCACGCGTACACTTGTGAAATAGAAAGTAAGATAGTTGCTTTTCTGAACGGCGAATGAAAGTGAAAATCGCATGCCGCGTTGCAACACTGCTTTGTTTCGCTCATTAATTGAGAGAGAATATCTAAAAATTTGTCAAAAAATAATCTTAATGTCATGTATGTGTAACGAGAGACGACAATTCTCTTATACATATATCTTCATATAAAAATATTCTCATTCTCTTCTCGAAGGAAATATTGTTTAAGAAAAGAAAAACAAATCTTGTTAACACATTTTGTCGGTTTCGGACATAAATTTCGGACGACGGAGGTACTCGATTGTTATAAGTAACATCGTAGATACCTGCAAGGCTTGGCGTTTGTTTGGAGTGTTAATGCGGCGTTTGCGGTGCGTTTCGTTCTCAAAATGGAACCGCGCTCCGGATTTAAATCACCTATAGGCTGTGAGATCCGAGCTAAGCAGCAGACAAACTTGCTCGAAACCTCAATCATATGTGTCAAATCAAGTATAAATCTACTTTTAACGTATATCGTATAACCGATTATAATCCTTTTACCAAAGCTCCTATAACGAGAGAAAAAAAGTCACACACGAGAGTTTACTTCTTAACTCCAGAAATTGCGACAATTTCTTCTGAAAACTTGGGAACTTGGGAATAAAAAAGATATATTTATTGATTCCCGCGGTTGAAAGAAAAACAAGAAGAAGTATTGATATATAGAGAAATTATAAAGATGTTATATTAAATATACAATTATATGTATATACACAAAGCGGACACGAAAGTGAAAATGGGAGTCAATAAGAAGAACGTATTCTTGTGCGAATTTGGGATAATGTTTTCTTAATAGGAGTTACATTTATAAGTGTCTTGCTAATTTGTCTCAAATTATATATTTTTTTAGATTTACTTCTTAGATTTTAAGCAAGCGGGATCTGTTGAGTTTTTATGTCTTTCACGTTATCTCGTTACAAACACACATAATAACTTAATTTTAATTTTTTAAATACTTATGTACTTAGAGACGCGTATTTTTAGGCGTTTAATAAGAAAAACATATCTCAAATTCGTCGATACATTCTTGTTATTGTAGATTCTCTACTTTTCTCAGTCTACACGTTATATACATATTATATGTATACAAGGTGTCTGCTTTCTCTTCATAAAATCATTAATTATACAAGATCAACTGAGAAAATGCGTTCGGGAAATAAATGGCGAGCAATTTTATCAATCGAGGCACATGCGATTTTAAAAACAATTTGACTGGAATTACAACGTTAGAAAAAAACTGTATTATTACTTCATATAAGTATCATATGATGAGTGAGGATTAATAATCCTGTTAATCCGATTATATTAAAATATGTAGTTTGTGTGCTAATTATTAAGGCCACCTCTAAAGTCTAACCATCTCACGAAACGCAGTTCTTGGCTGCTTGTCGTTAGGAGGAAGTGCGATTGTGAGACACCCTGTATATACATATGAGAGATATGAGATAATATATTTGTAGATACAGACTTTAGTCACATCTGGATAGTATATAGAGTCAATAATGTGAAGAGAGCCTGTAACTTACCTACCCTCTATATCCTCTCTTAGATAATATATAAATATATATATATAAATATATATATTTATATATATACATGTATATATATATATATACATATATATATACATATATAATAGATGATAATATACTTGTAAGTGATCTAAAGAAGATGAAGTATATGAAGAAATATACTGCGAAAAAATCGATTAAATAAATAAATGATATATCACAAGACCACTGTTGTATTACTTCCAACTTGACATTCTCTTTTAGTGTTTTACTTTTTACCTTACTTTCAATACGTACTTGAAATAATAATTATTGTTTAAATTGTTTTTGCAAGTAATCATATTAGATTCCTTTTGTTTATCCTTTACTTTAAATTTATTTAGACAAAGCTTTTATATTTTGAAGACCCGAGAAAAAATGGATTAGATCTAACTTAAATTTAACGAGATAAAAAAAAATGAAAAAATAGATCTAATTAGATCCAAATTAAATCTAAATAGATATAAAGTAGATATAAATAAATATAAAGTAGATCTAAAAATAAATATAAGTAAATCTATGTAAATTTACATATTTATATATTATTAAATCTACTTTAGATCTCCTCAGATCTACTATATCAAAACTACTCAGATTTACTTAGATTTAAGCAGATCTGAACAGATCTGAGGTGATCTAATATATAATAGATCTGAGTATATCAAAAGTAAAAATCTAATAATAAATAAAAGTGTACATTTACATAGATTTACTTTATATTTATTTAGATCTACTTTATATCTATTTAGATTTAATTTAGATCTAATTAGATTTATTTTTCCATTTTTTTATCTCGTTAGATTTAAATTAGATCTAATCCATTTGTTCTCAAGGAATTTTATATATCTTACAGATAGACATTTTTATTTAAAAGAGTAGAAAAATCTTTTCCTAAATATATTTTCTTATTAAGTATTAGTTTCATTTTTCAAGCACGCGCTTTTATTTTAAACGTGTGTAAATTAGTTAAATTTGGTAAAAAATCTTTTATATGTTTGACAAAGTAGTGAACCATTTTGACATATATTTTAGTGAAGATTCGAACCGCTTATAAGTATGGATTAGAACCAAGTTGGCAAAGGTCTCATGTTCTTTTGTGTATGTGTGGTGATGTAACATCAGCATTTAACCTCATCTTTCTTCTTCAAAGATTACTGTGTATAAAACTTGGGAATTAGTGTAATAAATACCAACAACAATGTCGCGGTACGTTTTTTCTCATATAATTTATTAGGAGTTTTATATTCCTGTAACTTATAAAACAAATAGTGAGAAAGAAACAATAAAATATACATCAACAAAACTAAGAGCTTGACATGTACCAGTTTCATATGTGTATATAATTGTGATATAACGTAAATTTCCACACAGAAAGAGATTTTATTAATTTTTCATCAATATTTTTTCACGACAGACACTAAAATATATATCGTATAATGTTTATTTACGTTTAAGGATGAAAATGTTTTATACAAACTACTTATTTTTTCAGCACAATTATATTGACATATATACTATGTACATACATATTATTTAAAAAACTAATATTTGATAGAACAGTCTTGTGTGCAGAGATGAGCAATTATATAAACACTTTGAATTAAAAATTTCAGAGTACCAGACCCTCCAATAAATCCAGCGATATTAGCAGAGAGGCCCATGGGTATAAAACGTCGAGTGGGTCGCGAAAGAGAGCGAATGTTGGGAATGACAGATGAAGAACGGGCTTGGAGAAAAAAATGGTTGGATGCTCAAAAACTGGCTCCTGAGGAGCCAATAATGCCGAAAGGCATGTACAAGGAGATGTACAATCCAATTAGAAGATTGTACAAAACACCTATGGATAAATTCCAGAAAGGTTTAGAACGTTATTTGGTAATAACAAAAACCAAGGTTCAATTAAAAACTGAAAAATGAAATTTATTTTATTGACCATTCTTTTCTATTATTTTAGGGTTATACAGCTGCTTTTATGACACGACACACTATAACAAAGTCATTTATGGGTTTGTGTGGGATATATTACATGTTTTACTATTTTAAATACAACAAAATGGTAACAGAAGTTTTGTTTCAACATATTGAGAACTGCTTTTCCCTTTCTCTCTCTCTCTCTCTCTCTCTCTCTTTCTCTCTTTCTCTCTTATTACTATGCTATATACTTATTAAGATGCTAGTTTTGAAATATTTTTTAAGATACTTTTAAGTTTGTTAACTTTGTCCATTTTAATTTCTAGGATTGGACAAGATACGGTGGATGGAAAGTCTATATGTCAAGACCCATGATGTATCCAGACACTAAAGATCTAAATGTGTTGTATAAAACGAAAGGCAATCAATTCTATGTGAATAATTTTGACAAATCTCCGATATAATATTTAAGAATATGCTGTGAGAATATCTTCTCTTTGTATAGTAATATTATTTCAGTAACATCTACAAATTTGTTACTGGAGTAACAAATACGATGTTAATAAACGCCGCTAGTTATAAATATATATTATCTGTTCTATACTTATCGTATTTATTTGTTCAGAAAATTAATTTGCAATCGCGTTATATAAAAATTATGGTAACCATAACGGTTAACATCGACTAAAAGTTTTGTTTCTTTTTATCTACTTTCGTTTGTTTTATGGAAATTCCAGTAAATATAAAGTAGAAGTTTTTAATCTAGAAATCACATAGTAAGTCCCCATTTGAGACTTAGTACTAGAACACTATTAGGTCTTGAAAAAATGTGTGAAGATACATCAGAAAATAAAGCTGTTTCAAAAAAAAACATATCGAGATGTTTTTCCGCGGCAGGTTCTTTGGTAGTATCGAATTCTTCAACTACCAATGTATTTGTTACTATTTTTAACTTTGATTGGAAGAACACTTAGAAAATGTGTGATATACACACATATATATATATATATATATATATATAGATACGCTTAGTGTTTTAAATTTAGTTAGATTCTGTGCACAAACTTGAGAAAAGATAAAGAGATATATATTTCTAATTTATCTCTCTACAGTATATAAAACTGTATTTACAATTACAAAATCGAATTATTTACCTCATTAAAGCGATACTTTATAACAGTTTCCGATTTTCGAATTCTTACGATCGCACATTCAGCTACAAAGGATAAATCACATTTCTATGACATTTCCACCGGAACATCGACCTCAGACGAATATACAATATACAAATGTAAGCTAACCCTAGAATAATAAATTTACGTTACCGACATTTTATATGTGATACTGATGTAATAATAACTTGTGTAAATTTTTTAAATTTGATTTTTATACAATTAGTATTAAGACAAGTTTTCCGAAAACTTTAAATAAACTGCCTATACCACGAGATGCTCTACATCGTCGTAAAGTAAGTCACTCACGTCAAACATACACATCACAAGTCATCGTCAGTATTGCGGAATTCGTGTTACTATACTTTTTCCAAAAACCATGGAACTATCTGCTCAACAAGAAACTACTGCCAATAAATTTACATGTGACGTAAGTAATAACGAAGAAACCTCGTAAGTACAACACACATGTTCAAACCATCAAATATATTGTGTCAGTCTACTCTACCAGTATTAACAAAATACATTGACAAACTAAAATATTATTGTTACGATGATATTTCTTCTTAGACATGCGACGCAAGTTTTGCAACGGAATTTGCATTACACGTTCATGAAAGTACTCATGTCTACAACATAGTTTGTACAATATGTAACACGACTGTCGTAAACACCGAACATTTAAACAATCATGTTAAATATACCCATCCGGAAAGCCGTTATTACGCGTGTGTCGTAAGTAATGAAAATTACAATTTATCATAGACAAACATTCTGTCGAAAATAATAAACACTATACTATTTTAAATTTACACTAAAGTGCTATATAATAAAAACATGTTAATGGCAAATTCATTATTCTTACGATGTTAATTTTTGTTCAGATATGCGGCACAAAATTTGCAACACGATCCGAACTACAAACCCATGCAAATACTCATACTGAAAAACTGTGGAAATGTAATTACTGTAAAAAAATCTACCTCAACTATTCATCTTTAAATATCCACAAACTCAATAAGCACAGCGAACTAGACTTTACATGTGCGGTACGTAATAAACACACGCCTTTATTAAAAAAAACAATTTGTTCATTTTGTTGTAAAATATAAATATGCATCAGCAGTGTTACTAGACCACGGTAAGGGTAAAACATTTTACAATAACATTAGTTTTTTTTTTTTTTTAAGATATGCTCGTTGGAGTTTTCATCGGATTCTGAGTTACAAAGCCATCTAGCACATCATTTACATTAGAGTGTTGTTTCGGCTGATAAAAAAAACTAATGTATCCGACATTTAAAGATTTATACACATACCGCAAATCTTGCCGGCGAAACAGCTATCTTGTTTATCTGCCGTAAATACTGAAGACTCATTTATTGTAAACAAATCCATTTCTTTCAAAAATATTTCTAAATATATTACGTTAATCTACAGTAATCAGAACATGTGTCAAGAATGTAAAATATTACCGTTACAATATTGGCGATTTCAAGATACCCGTCGACTTTTTCGCGACTTTATCTGGTCAACAAATTTATAAAAGAAATGATGCAAAAAATTATACACAAGTTTTCTAAATGTCACGACGTACTTACGAATAATTATGTACTAAATGCGCACTTGTCACAGCTTCCAAAAGAAGCGTGTTATCATACGCGACCCCGTTTTATAATGTTTCGTAAATATTGCACGCGCGTTTTCTACAAATCTTTTTTTTACTATAAAAATAAATACAGTATATTGGTTTATGTCTAGCAATGTGAACTGCAAAAAATTAACACATCAGCGATAGAATAATAATTTTACGTTATTTCTCGTTTAAGTACCGTCCACAAAAAGCTTTCGTACTGAAAAAGAATTTCTTTCCTATTGACTGTAATTTATATTATATATAACATTAAATAATACATATTATATATATACATATAATTTATTATATATTTATAATATTATACTTTATATTGTATTATGTGTATTATATACATACTACAGTAATGTCACTGACCTCGGCCGCGCGGCCTTGGTGGGGGGGAGTCACTGACCGCGGGCGCGGGCCTTGGTGGGGGCGGGGTCACTGGCCTCGGCCGCGCGGCCTTGGTGGGGGGNAGTCACTGACCGCAGTCGCGCGACCGCGGCGGGGTCAGTGACCCCGGTCGCGCGACTGCGGTGAAGTCACTGACCTCGGCCGCGCGACCGACACACGTTAATCCAATAGTAACCGCAACGTACCTCGAACGCATTGTCGTATATCAGGGCCTACTGTTTCATATCATTTAACCTGCCATCTCTATGAGTACCTACCGTTGGTATTTTTGAGATTTAACTCCCATCTTGCGGAGCTATATTGTACCATACTGTCATTGTATGTATTCGTAAAGCATTGTGTGTACATATACAGTCCGAATTACGAGGTTATGTTGTTCACAGTTTAATGTTACATACATAGTGTGTTAAATACATAGTTTTAAATGTTTCTTACCTCCGTGAGATATTGCTTAAGTTGAAAAAAAAATCAACTTTTCTTGTATATCAGAGAGTAATATTTTCACAATGGCTGAGACTCCTTTAAGTGTAGGAGAGAAGACGTATATTCTTCACGGAGTTGATGTGAGTGTCCAATGATGCACGTGCAATTGTTTCGAACGATTTTCTTGTACTTAAAAGTTAAAGAAAATTCAAATATTTATTTTTCTAGAAAATCTTATTTATTATTATGTTCTTTATGCTCAATTTGGTCTCTCGATTTACATGTAAATCTTTTATTTTCTATATCATTTGTATTCTTTTTTCATCTATACTCGTATTACACATTTTGAATTTCTTATTATTGCAATTAAATTTATCAGCTTGATCTCCGAAATGACGGTCGATCGAGATATCAGTATCGGTCCATCGAGATCGAAACGAAATTGATGCAGCACGTGCACGGCTCGGCGAGATTACGAATAGGAAACATCACAGATATATTGGTCAGTGTGAAAATGGAGATAGACACACCATTTGCCGAAAGACCGAACGAAGGCAAATTGGATTTCTTTGTAGATTGGTAAGTATACGTTGCTTTATATGTAAATTTATAATTTAGAAACGGCAAAATACAATATATTTATTTTAATTATTTCTTCCAGTTCTGCTAATGCTACACCAGCGTTCGAAGGCAAAGGCGGAGACAATCTAGCAACTGAAATAAGCAACATCCTTTCCATGGCGTATCAATCACCCGACGTCTTTGATTTGAGACAACTATGTATATTACCCGCTAAGAAGTGTTGGAAAATGTATGTAGACATCTTGGTAAGTGTCAGTAGATCGTGGAATGTTGCTCGGGGAAGTCCGTCACGTCATCTCTTTTGTTTCCTCAGATCCTCCAAGTTGGCGGAAATCTGTTCGATGCTGTGGGAGCCGCGGTAAAAGCTGCTCTGTACAACACTGAAATTCCAAAAGTGCTCGCAGCAACCCTCGACGGCAGCGAGCCGGACATTCAAATATCTGACGATCTTTACGATTGTATCAAACTGGACGTCACGAATTATCCAGTAATAGTCTCAGTATGCAAGGTGTGTTATTATAAAAAAAAAAAAAAAAAAAAAAACGTGTGAATAAACATTTTATTTCTCTTGCGTTGCAATTGAAACTGTAATTTCTTATATTTTAGCGCCTAAAATTTATTTTGTAATAATTAGAAAAATGTTAATTGCTCGATCGAATAACTCCTTTCTTCAACAGATCGGTGACAATTTCGTGATAGATCCAACTCCGGAGGAAGAATCGTGCAGCCCAGTTAGCATCGTTATGTCGGTGGCGCCCAGTAGTAAAGTGACGACTATAGTTAAACAGGGTTACGGCAGCTTGTTGCCTACCACTTTGATCAAGATGTTGCAGGTGAAATACTCCGCAGAGATCAATCGCCAAATCCAAAGGTGAACTATATGTACAAACTGTAATTCTTTTCTTTTACGTAGGTGGGAAAGGACATTGGTCTCAAGCTGAACGAAAGTCTGATGGAAGGATTGAAAGAAGAAGATAAACTCGGTCAATCGAAACCTTTGTGCGGCTTTCTCAGATAACAACGCGTATTTTATGTACGACCTGGACTCTAAAAAGTATAAAATATATTTTTTTCGAATTTCAAACACGTCCGTGTGAACTTTTTTTTTTAATTATCGTGAAGGATTCTCGCTGCATTTATGTACGCGTGATGGTGTAAAAACATGAACTATTGAAATAACATTACCCAGAATCACAGGTGTAGGTTTCAACTATGTACTATTATTTTTAATTCAATCATTTGTCTTCATCGCCTGTATAATTCGGGTTTTAAGTACATAAAAAATTCTTTTTAAAATCCTCGAGAAAATTTCGAACTTCAAAATTTTTATTTAATAGCCAGCACTCATTTATCGACTTTGTGCGTCATGTATTTTTTTGTTTCACGCGACCGCGAAGATGAAAATCGTCTTTTATTTTTATACGTTCCAAAAACAAATAAATTTATTAGAATCAATAATCAGGATTAAAGTCGATAAATGAGCGCGTGTACGCACGCGCGATATTGAAAAAACGATTTGCTCAGCGATTACACAGGAAGTAACATCTTTGTTGCGTTCACAAAGAAATAACATTGAGAAAAATAACTTCTCGCGCGATTATTACTTTTCAATAGCGTTTTCTCGTTTGCTTTACAGTTCGAGAAGATTATTCTTTTAAGATTGTATAAATATCCCCCACACACGAAGTCAGTTTCGTTATGTAATAATGGGCGTCAGGGGGGAGGTGGGAAAACTTGCACGAAGCTCGAACTGTGGTAATGAAATCGGTTCTTTTTTTTTTTTCTTTTTTTTCTTTTTTTTTTTCAACGATTCTCTTAAAGAAAGTGGCTATTACAATGATTATGTTGAAAGTAGTGCTGAAAGTAGTGAAAGATATCTTTGTTTTTAGTTTCTTATAAATATTCTGTTTCTTATACACAGTAGTATTTTAGTTTGTATCTCTCTTCACGGACCTGTTATAGTTTGTACAGAGGTCCCAATAAGTAACTTTTACAAGATAATAGTTAGAATCGCGTTTTCAAGCGTGTAAAGTCGTGTGTAGTTACAAGTTCGTATGTATAGATCATTTTTTCGCGCCCGAAACAAACGGACGACCAGTTTTTTTTTTTTTCTGCCATCAATGACATCGTCGAGCGACGTGTAGGAGTTTCTCTCTCGCACACACACTCTCTATCTCTCGTTCGCAGCTTAAAAACAATTCAACATGGCGGAGGATCGATAAGATCGTGTTGTGTTCACGCGGTCACCAACGCGAAATTGCTCTCGCGCGTAACATCAGCGCTCGAGGCGAATGCGTTGCGATGGACGACGTAATTAAGTCAGAATTTTAATAACATATGAACATATTAATCAATTTACTTAATAAACATAAACGTTTTTTTTTTTTTTGAAGATTGAGAGAGAAAAGTTGAAGATTTTCTGTTAGAATCTAGAAAAACCTTAAAACTTTTATCCTATTAAAAAAAAAAAAAAAAAAAAAATAGAAAAGTGAAAAAATAATTTTACTGGAAAATAAGATATTCAACAGATATATTTTTCTGAAAGAATAATTATTATTCTTTTTACTTGTAAAAATAAAAACGACTTAATTATGTCGCTTGCAAGCGCTACTTGCGCGTTAGAAACCGACGGATCTTGTTGAGGAATTACTATGGAGGAGGAGCACTTACGTAAGTATCGGCGGAAGTTCATGTCCAAGATTACTCGACATTCTCTCGTCTCAAGTTTACAACTTTACATTTAATTCGCGTCGAAAATCGTTTAATAAATAACAAATAAGGATCTTGACAGCTTGGAATACCATCTTCATCCTCTTTTCTTACTAATTACAAACTAAACTCTTAAACTACGCTAAAAATGTACTCGCAAATGACTCTCATCGAGTCGTCAAACACACGTTCTCTCTGTTTGTACCATTAACACGTTGATTTTTGCGCTTAAGTCGAAGGTTTTTTGTTGAATCGAAGCGAATCAGAAAGTGATCTAAAGAATATGATGTTTCCCCGGAAAAAAAAATTTAACGAACTTGTTGAATCGGAAATTGCAAGGTGATACAATTAATCAATGTGTTAATGGTCTATCAATTAATATAAATTGAAGCTTAGATGAATCTTAGATTTCGAATTAAATTCAATTGATCAATCGCTATCCTAAATCGCAATTTGTCAACGATTATCGTGAAATTATTAACGTAAAGATAATTATATATAATGTTATATCTTTTCGAGGTGTGGAAGTATATATATATATATATATATTATATTATTTATATGTGATATATGTGTGACGCGCGCGCATATACATAAGCATATATATAGGGCGTTTCAGAAATTGCATGTTTTCTGACGTTAAAAGTCGAACTTTTGTGGTATCGACTAAAAGTGTTAGCTTGGTTTTTCTTGTAACATTAAATTATTTTGGCGCGAGAAGGCTTCTCAACAAACAAACATTTGTTAAAATTCATCGAACATTTATTTGTGTTGAACAACAAGATTTATGTATATTATTAATATATGTACATTTTTTCGAAGCCTAATTCGCCAAAATTCTCTAATTTTCTACAAATAACTATGTAATTAATAGTAAGATCTCGCAACAATTTTATCCAAATGAGAAATAGAGTATACGATTTCTAAGACGTCCTGTATATGTATAGAGTAACCCATTTTAATGTATGCTGTAAAATATCTCCTAAAGCGAGATACGGCATGCTTTATATTTCGTTCACTTCGATAAGAGTATTATATGTGGAAAAAGATAAGTCGATTATAACGAGAAATATTTCACTGCATCAATTATAACGGGATAACTTTTTTTATGTATATATATATATAAAATTTATATATATATATATATATACATACACATATATATATATATATATAATGCGATGTATCATATTGCGTACAACAAAGTTCGGATAACCATCGTTCGAGATGAAGAGAGACAAACATACTTCTCACGTATGTATCTACTTTCTGCGTCGTAAGATTCGAGTCGTTAAAAAAAACTGGTGCATTAGAAACGATTTCGATTTCTTGTGCGCATCTAACGCGAGAGTAATTCGGAAAGCAAATCAAAAAACGGATGTCGGTGGTGAGCGATTAAATGAGAGATCGAAAGAGCAAAAACAAAAAGTGTGAGCACACAAAAACTAAAACAAAAACAATAAAAAAAGAAAAAAAGAAAGAAGTAATTCATACTCGTTCGACAGCTGTGAATAATCGTGTACTTTATTTATTTAACGTTCAATTAAACTTTCGCAAATTCAAAATTCACAGTATAATTCTTCTATTATCTCTATTTCCGTTTTGTAATGTCCATATCATTAATTATATATTAATATTAATATTATCATATTGTAAGTGTCGCTTTTTGCACTCGGTTAATTGATTGCACGTTGTGAGAAACAAATCCTCTTTTTTTTTTTTTTCTATATTTTTTCATCTTTATTATTAACTTTTGTTCTTGCACTCGGCGAAACGTAATTGCAATAACTTCCCTAAAATTCATCACACTTTAACCGCAATAAATAATGTGTATATATCATTATGGCTTATACGCTTATAAAGTAATAGGTAGGTTTTACAACTGGCGACTTTTTCTCACTCGCCGCACGAGACGATCCCTCGCCGTTAATATATCCCCGTTAAAATACGCAACAACAAGAACTCCCGAGAGCTACAAACAAATTCTCAGTAATCGCACAGCGGGTAACTATCTCGTTTTTTTTAATTAAACGCACCTCTCTACGTGTCCGGCACAAATTACATAGTATTTTAAATATCTCGCTGCTCGCTTCTTTGTCACATATTGACAATATACGTCTAACAAGCTTTCTTTACAGCTTCCTAATGCAGCTACTTCTTTTTCTCTCCACACGGTACTTGTAATTGTTTTCTTTTTTTTTTTTTTTATTTTGTTTTGTTTTATTTTTCTCGCCGAGACGAAAATCCTCCCTCGAAAACTAATAATAATAATAATAATAATAATAATAATAATAATAATAATAATAGTAATAATAATAATCTCGTGTTTCTTTTTCCCGCGGTATCCGAAGCGGCTATAAATAACTATATAAGATGCCTATAATAATAATAATAATAATAGTAATAATAATAATCTCGTGTTTCTTTTTCCCGCGGTATCCGAAGCGGCTATAAATAACTATATAAGATGCCTATATACACATCCATACATATACATATATATATATGTGTGTATATATATATAATAATATATATATATATATGTACATGTACCTCTCTCTTTCGGATCGCGCGCGCCAAGTATCGAATGTATGTACATACATCTAAAAAGAAATGTATCGTTTCGAAACGCGGCTGATGAGATAACTCTCTTTGTCGGATGCTCTTCTTTGTGTCTTTATTTCATCGACTTCGCTCGGGTTTTAAGTTTTGCGAGATCGTGAAGAGTCTGCGAAGTCGTGCTAAGATTGCATAAGTACGCGCGCGGTTTTGCTCTCATAACGCGTGATAAAAAAAAAAACCAGACGTCGTGAAACGTCGTCATCAATCACGCAAATCTCCGCAAGATACCCGGGCCCGCCGAGTAACCAATTATACAATTATCGAATGATTAAATATAATATTATATTACACAGATATAGATATAATATTATATTACACGTTACACATAGAGATAGACATAATAATCATTTATATTACATAGATTATATAATAAATATAATATTTGTATATATTTATGTGGAGAAAAAAAAATACGCTAACTTCAGTGTCTGTAAAACGATATCAGTAACATTTATTGAAACACATCGTCGAAAAAAAGTATATCGGGATTAAATATATATATATATATATATATATATATATATATGTATATAT